CCCATCAGCTCCCCTCTGCTGGCAAACCGGCTTCACAGCCCCTCTGGGCACAGGAGGAACGGCCCAGCGGGGTCAAGACTCCCGGCGCTTCTCAACAAGGAGCCAACCCACACCCGTACCTTGTTCCTGCGCAGAAACTCCTCCTCTGGAATCAGGCTGTCTTCGCTCTTCAGTTTCTTTGAGACTGGCTCGTCCTCCATCGGCGGCGGCGGGTGAACAGGAGGCATCGGGGCTGGGGAAGGGACCGGAGCCACGGGAGGCGCAGGAACGAAGGCTGAAACGGGACGAGGGGGACACAACACAACCTGCAGTCACCCACTGGCTCTACAGCAGACACTCCCTGACAGTCAAACTCTTTTAGCAGACCAGCAAAGGCTGAAAATAAAGGCCAGGATACACGGAGGAAGTTAACACAACTAATAGTAACATTCAAACTTCAAACGTTAGGAGACCTTTTATATTGGGAAACCGTCCAGGAAAAGACAGCAAGCGGTGTAAGAGCTTCCTGCAGACCTTGCAAAAAAGAAAACGCTCTCGGTTTGGCCGGCAGCGGTGCCAGCACCTCGGTTTAAAAAAAAAAAAAAAGGAAGAATTGTTCTGTACGTCGTGCTTTTCAACTTAAAAACACCTCATGCTATGAAGCTGCTACGAGGAAAGGGGCCAGACAACAGCTTTTCCTCCTGCACCAGCAACTTCTGTAACACCCAGTGAGGTGCTGGTAGTTCCTCTTTATCTGGTTCCTTTTGGAAAGCAGTGTGGATTCTTAATCTTCACCTGGGCAGGCTCCTGAGGACACAGTTAAATGGGCGAGACAGAATTCTGCAGGGGGAGTCTTGAGCCCCAAAGCAGTACCGCCAGGAAAGTCCTGCCAAACACCCCAGAGCTCTGAACGATGGGACCTGGGGTCCGCGATCCCAAGAACCCGCCGTTATCAGGGGCAGAAAGAAGCAAAGCTCAAGCCCGGTTACACAGGAACCAGCTGACAGCGAACCACAAACCGCCCAAGTGACTGACCTGTGGGTACGATCATGGGCGGCGGGCGGGGGCTCATGATCGGAGGAGCAGAGGGCGGCATGGGGACAACGTTGATGCGTGGAGTATGGATTATCGGTGGCATGGGGGTGGCTATGACCGATCCTGGAGGCAGCCGGACCACGGAAGTCATCGGGGGACGAGGCATGACCGGAACGGCAGAAACAACGGCAGCACGAACGGGAGGGGGCATCTGGAGAGAGAGGGTAGATTTCCTCAGCAGGTGCACGCAGGAACGCTCGGTGCTGTTCACAATCCTGATTAAAATAACCAGGGCAACACCCAGAGGGCTCCTGCTGGCCAAAGGCCGGCTGGGAAGCTCAGCGAGCCACGGCACGGCCAGCCCCAGCTGAGATTAAGCTGTTGTTGGGCATCAGACCCCAGCCACAGAGCAATCAAGGAGCTATTTCAGGGTCATGTAGCAGAAACCCTTGGGGCAGGAACACTGGGCAAGTGAGTCACCTGCGAACGTTTCCTACCTGAGGCTACTTCTGTTCTGCATCATGCCCTTTCACACCTAAAAAAGAGGCCCCCACCCATTCCTCTGTTAGCCATACGCCCTTCCTCCAAGATCTCACTGCCCAGGTTCTTCCTCTGCCCGGCTGATCAAGTCTTTTTGGTACCTCTAAGGATGAAAAACTCCACCTATTTTCCATTTTGAACAGCAAATTCAAGTTCCTCTGGCAGTTTAGGAGTCATTTGGAAACAAGAACTTCACTCAAAATTTGCTCCTAAGCCAGCACCCTGCTGTTAAAACCCTTGACCTTCGTCAGGACTCCCTTCTCATTAACTGTGACGAGAGCAGTTTGCTTTTGGAAGCCCAAACACTCACTGTGGGTGGACGAGGAACGGAGGTGATAGGCTGAGCGCTGGCAGGGGGGTTTGACGCTGACGAAGGAGGGGGTGGCTGGGGCATTTCATTGGGTTTGCTGGGACCGATCTTCTCCTTGCTGTCATCTTCTGGCACCAGTCCCTTGGCCTTATGGATAGCTTCAATTTGCTCTTGGAGAGTAATATTGGCCTGAGCAGCCTGTTGTGTGCGGGCCATGCTGCCCGAGTGGCCATCCCAGGTCACCTGAGGGGATAAAATAAATCAGAATAACTCTGGCCTGTCTGGACTGCAAGGCGAGCTGGAAACAAGTCAAGAGAGCAGCCTCGGAGCAAGTCAGGAGTTCAGAAGACTCCTGCCTCCGAGCATTCACAACACTGCAGGAACCTGTTAAACAGTTTCCACTCTACCTTTTCCTCCGGTTTCTGGATTTCCTCTTCACCGATCTTTTTACCAATGGCAGTCTCTTCTACACCGAAGATATCAGTACGGCGCTCGGCCAGCTGCTTCAAGCTGCTCTCGATATCCAAACCTGCAAAAAGAGAGAAATTCTCATCTCAAGTGACGTAATCAACATCAAACACGATCAAACCTCCTTTAAACTGTACGGCACCTAACGGCCGAGCCTGCTCTCTTTAGAGACAGACTGCAACGGGTGGCTGCTCAGCAGCAGCTACTGCTCTTTGCCTTTACGTTTAGAGAAAGGCTTCGATGCACTAATGACACGGGTAGCACGTAACCAGCACACCAGGGACACCAGAAAGTGACATTTAAGATGGTCCTGATGGGGAGGACATGGGGGGGGGAGTGAGGGGTTGTTCACAGAACTCATCTAGGAACTGCGCAAGCTGGGTCAGACACCAAAGCTGACCTGGGGCATAGACCTCATCGTCACTCTGCTTTTCACGGATGGATCGATCACGCTGCTCCAGCCATCGAGGATCCAGGAGACCAATTCGCATGTGTTCTTGCATCTTACTGGCAGGAATCTTCTCTCCAGTGATGGGGGAAACAAGATACTCATCTGGAGCTGGCGCTGGTGGTAATGGTTTTGAGGCTGGAAGAACGAAAGCACACTGTTAAAAACACCTCAGAGGATGCAGCCTAGAAACAAATGCTTTTGTGACTATTCAGGAAGAAACAATGTGTTTTTTTTTTTCACCAGCCTGATTTACCTTTGGGATCGTAATCTTTCCGCACAATGACCTGATCCGGCGTGGGAGGAAGAGGTGGTGGCATCGGGGTTTCTGGAGGAGGAGGAACCTTCTGACCTTCATCTTCATCATCTGAACCCTTATTTAAAAAGAAACAAAACAAAAATCAGAACCAAGTTCCTGTAGTCAAGTATCAACAAACAAGACTTGAGAAAGGCACGAAAGCTCTACGCAGCGCGGGAAGAACCGCCTGTGCAGCTGCAAAGGAAAAGAGCTATTTTGCCTCTGGACACCTCTGCTACAGTGGCTCCTCTGGACAATCACGATTCAGAAATTCAGTGGACTCAGAAGAGGAAGCAAGTACTCCTCTGCTTCCACATTACCACAGCATGGCAAGCAAGGGCTTACGGTTAACCACGGTCTTGTTCCTTGTACCAGAAAAACAGCACATAGAGGGGGTAGAGGAAGAGTTTAGCTCTGTCAGAGCTCCAGCCTCTGCGCAGAAAAAAAAGCCCAAAAGGCTCGGCCACAGAAATACAAAATCCACACCGTTAGGTGACAAAAATCACTGTATTTCTCCCTTGGAAGTTGTATTGTCATGGAAAACACTAAAAATACTGCATTCCAGCAGAAACAGGCTGTTTCGAAATTCCATCAAAAGGAAATCTCATTGCCTCAAGGAACTTCTTACAGTAAAAGTGAAAGGCATCATAAACCACACAAACTTTAGGGGACAAAAGTAATGCTGAGTCTAATGCCTAGTTACCTCATCCATATCCTGCACTTGGGTGTCTTGATCCAGCTGGGCTGGGGGCTCATCTGTTTTCTCTTGCTTTTCATCTTCCTCATCTGACTCCACCTCCATCTCTACCTCCTCGCTTTCCCCAAACTTCTCGTAACGCTCCTGGATCAGGATTCGAGCTCCCAGCTCTTCTGGAGTGGTGGGAGGAGGGAAATTCCCTACAACACAGAAAACAGAACTTCTCTTTCTCTATCCCATTCCATTGCTCAATGCAGGTACAGAAATAGCAGTTTCTTGCATGAAAAGCAGTTTCTTTACAAAGCAGCGGCATCAAAATCTCCTGGGAGCCCAGGTGTATAGAGGAGAACAATGGAGTCTATACAGACCAACACCAGCATGACACAGGACGAAGGAGGCACTTAAAGGGTGTTTCAGGACATAGTCCCTACTCATGAGTTTCATAGAGGTTACTTCACTTAATTTCAGTACCTTGCTCATTGGGCTGGAAGTCAACTGTTTCCACGACTACAAAGTCATGCCAATCAATCTGGGCGTAAGCAACACGCTCCTTCTCCTTCTCCTCCTCTTCCTTCTTTCTCTCTCGCTCCTGGAACTTCGCCCACTCCACTCTGTAATACACCTGCCCAAGCGGACATAAAGCACGTGTCAAACGTCACAGTCATCTCTACAGCATCCACAAGTTTACGCCACCAACCCTTTCACGGCAGTTACACAAGCACTACTTCAGAGGCCTGGCCTGACAGAGAAATCTCTGTATTTCATTTAGAAACTGCAGGTTGGCCATTACACCGAGTAATGTACTGCACCAGCTTTGTAAAGCGGTTTTCTAAAGCTGGAGGCTTCTTGAGCCAAGACCAAGCCACCCAGGTATGCCATGACTCGGGTAACCCTGAGGATTCCGCCAGCAAACAGTTCACAGACACTTTATTACCACCCTGTAACGTCACCTTGCCAAAGCAAAAGCAGTCTTTGTGACAGAGACTGAAGTCACAGCGACAAAGAACAGCTTGGAAGGACTAGAAGTGACCGAGGTGTCACAGTGAAGCTGTCTGAGGGAAACATGCTACTTGACAGAGCGCTTGGAAATGGCGTGCAGTGTTTATGCCTCCACGATGCCCCAAGTAAACCACCCCCAGCCAAAGACGGCCCGCCGCCCGCAGGCAAGCGGGGGTACCCTCTGCTCGGGCAGGGGACGCACCCGTTTGGTTCTCTGTGTATTTGTATTCGCTGGCAGTGAGTCAGAAACATGCAAAGAGGAAAAAAACGCAACATATAACTGAGATGCTTCGGCAATTCGCACGTTTTTCGTGCAATACCTGATCCAGGACTTCCTTGGGATTTTCGGCCTCCTTCTTGAGTTTGAGGAGTAAGCCTTTTGGGGGGATCAAGATCTGAAACACATTTTGCACGACAGTTGGTGACGATTCTTTTTGCCAAAGCCTCCTTAAAAGCAATTACTCTCTTTCCACACTGCTAAAAATATCGGCAGACCCCTAAGGGCTGCGTTCCATTTATTCTGTTGCAACCCTCTCGCTACTTACTGCTCGTACCTGCACTTAAAAATAGTCACTCTTGGCTGTCCAGCTACCCTCTGTATTTAAAAACCCACAGCAGCGTCTGACACGTTTAAGTAACAGCCCGCTGTGTTCAGCACCGCGTGTTGCCAACAAGGCACAAGACAGTCCCTGTACTGGAACAGTGAGATTTAAAGGAATGGCCCCTGGACCGGCACAAATTCCTAGTCTGGCTGTTTTGTCGGGCTTCAATAGTCTTCAAAAATCAATATTGCTGCTGGAAGAATCGATTTGACAGGTAAATGGCAAGAGTACCTTCGTGTACTGTTCAACCAGCTTAGTGAAGTAGTTAAAGAGACTGTGCTGGGGGCGAAGGAAATCAAACTGGTAGTTCCTCTGCTCCTTCTGCATCAGCTGCGTCAAGAACTGCCGCCCGTTCCGAGCTACGAACTGCGCCGTGAGCTTCACCACGTCCAAGTCAAAGGCCGAGATGGAGGGAGGATCCGCAATGAACTCGAACTCCGGGGGTGGCTCTTTCGGAACGACCGTCTCCTGGATCACCTGGGCCTGCACCTGCAGAGCAGGACAGAGACAGCTCAGCGGCTGAAGGAGGAAGTTGTCACCCAGCACCCGGGGAGCCCACGGCCCCTTCCCCCTTGCTACGATCCCCCCGGACAGTCGGTACCACCCAGCGGGACTGCCGGCCGTGCAAAGCGCGCGAGAGACTCAGCTTCAGCCACGGCCCTTTTTCCACTCAGTACGTACAAAGGCACAACTCAAGATTAGTGACATTTTGTACTCCACAATGCAAGGGGAAGTTGATCCTTCCAGCAGAAAAAAGGGAAATGTTTCTACAGACCAGGGCCTGCACAAGTCCAAACTGAACTCCAAGGGATTCTAAAAACTCGCCTATGGGCGGAGTCCTAAACTCACACAGTCGATACACAACTAAACGTCATTAAAACGGACCAAATACAACAATGTACTGGCTCTTTCACACCCAACTTTGAACTGCCAGCAACTGGGGGATGCACATCTGCATCAAAACAAAGTCCCAGGCACCAAACTCCAAGCCTCTCGGTGCTTTGTTTTTTGCAAACGTATAAATAACTCCTCTGTTTGCCTTGTCGTTCAGACCTCCTGCTTAACAGGCTGGGGCACAACCAGTTAGAAGCCAAGTTCTGGACCAAAGGGAAAAGCAAGTACCTTCTGTGGCAGCTGCTGCTGAGCACTTTGCTGCTGTTGCATGACCTTGGGAATCGCAGCCGAGGGCTCCTGTGCTTTACCCTCTTTGAACTCGCTGACTTTGTGCCGGTAGTACGCATGGTAAGGATCGTTGGGGTTCAAGAAGTTGAACTTTGGGTTATTTATTTCGTTCTGACGAATTCGAGCTTCAAATTCTGGACCATTTCTGGGGAGGAAAAAGATAAATTATGTAGATGAATGGGCATCGACTCATGTGTAAACGTCTCTTTCTTTCCCAGTACGATGTATCGATGCATCAGCCCCTCGGAACACAACTTTCTCTCCTACACGGAAAGAATTTACCTCTAAGCAGCTCACACCCAATGCAGCAGCCAGCTGCAGACACACAAGTTAAAGGCATTTGTCCTAATTTAGCCTATAATGCTTCCCAGCCAGTATTTCCCAAGACACTAAACACTCTGGCTACGCACAAACAAAAGGCCATTTACTGGACTGCCAGTTCACAAGGTACTTACCAGACCAATTTCATTCGCTCTTATTAACAAGCTTTTAAGACCAGTTTCATTTCCAGAAAGTTCATATAAGCAAAAAGCAGGTAACCATCAGCCTGCACAGACACTGACCACACCAGAGCGCTGCATTTCGGAGAGCCCCAAGTTTTAGCTCAGGCAACGACCTCTCCTCCCATCCAAAGCACAAGCCGTTTATTTCAGGGCAGTCTGAGAAAGTGAACAGCTGCCACAGCATCGTGTTTCTCTTCAGATCCTCTGGATACTACAAGTCTTGGTTAGACACTCCACCTCTTTCAACAGAGCGGGTCTCTACCACAACAAAGGACCGTCACAGCCCCTTCCTTATCCTCAAAGGAAGCCAACGCTCCGCGGCAGCATCTCAGAGATCAGTTACACAAGTGCCTTTGGCCAGAGCAGCAGTCAGTAACTGCCTTGAACTCACAGCAGCCACCACCCTGTTTCAGCGAGGTGAAAGCTCGCGGTGTTCAGCCTGTCTGGATGCCACGAAGGTGAAGAACTCGGGCAGCTGAGGGGTATTTAACCCTGGTGCTACTCGTAGGCCAGCAGGAGGGCCAAGACCTGGGCCCTCAGGACCTCACGTAGTGACAAACCAGCCAGAAACACTCCAGCATTGAAAAACAACAGCCAACGCTGACCTACGCAGCACTTCCAGCTCGCACTTGCACAATGATGGCATTAGGCAAATGGAAGAAGCCAAAGGAGTAAAATTATTCAACTTTTAGACTCCTCCCCCAAACCTGACATTTACACTCGTGCCAATCAACCTGCTCCAGGCACCAAGGGAAAAAAAAACCCCACCCCACAGGCAGCAGGGGCAGCTCACCCACCCCCGGGAGGAGCAGACGACCCTGCGGAGGCCCGCGCTCCGCTGCCTCTGGCGAAGGGGGGAGGCCTGGGC